GCAAGTTGCGTCTTTTCTTTTGTACCCTTTTGTACGAACAACTCAATAAGACAATAATATGTTGACTTAACTATATGGCTGTAATGGGAAGATTGCAAGTGCCTTTCATGACCACATTCATATACTCAGATAAATTAGTAGTCATATGCCAAAAGTGATGACCCTCATCAGCATATTGAGCCTACTTTGCACGCGGTATGTTGTTAGCCCATGCGATCATCACGGGATCCATGTCGTCTAATGCTCTAAACCACTATAGAAAATTATGCTCATTCTTTGCATATGTTGCATTCATTAGCAGTCACTTTACATCTTTGTTCTTAAATTTTATAGCCAAATTTGATGCAATGTGTCATGAATAGTATGCATGATAAGTTAAAGGTGGATGCCACCCACTCCTTGTAGCTTCTAGAGCTGCTTTGATAGTATGATGCCTATTAGATATGACAAGAATGCCCTCTTGTGGTATCACATGCTGATGAATATTTCTCAGAGAAAAAAAAATGACCATGCTTCTTTTGTCTCTCCCTCCACCACTGTAAATGCAAATGTCAAGATATTTGAGTTGTGATCTTGGACAATTGCCATGAACAACGTTCCACTATACTTACCATACAAGTGTGTTCCATAAATTGAAATCAATTTTTTGCAATATTTGAATGCCTCTATGCATGGTGGATAGGTCCAAAAAAGACGATGGAACATAAAGAAACTATAATCTACAACATCACCAACATAGTATGGTCCAATTTGCATTTGGATAATAGTACCTAATATATAAGACTACAAGCCACTCAACTATCTTGAAAGTTCATTATAAAATTCTTCTTAATCTCCATATATTATAGCAATAGCTTTCTATTTTGCGAGCTACACTTTTCTATATGTTGTCTTGAACCTCAACTCTAACTCTACTGATGCTTGTAGAGATTTGATTTTTGTCATTGAATCTGCTTGTATTATGGGGTATATGTGGGCATACATAATATTATAATCCATATGAGCATGTTGATTCATAGACTCTAGAAAGACACATGTGTGTGGTTATGTCAATTTTCTCACTTCCTATAACTGCAATTTTTGGCGGAAGTGACATGTATACTCCAATTACAATCAATGCCAAACTTCACACACTTGCAATAAAATTTTATGTGGTTAGATTCATAAGCTTTATATTAAACACTTCTTCAGATGTTGTAATATTTAATAGTAAACATCGCTTTATCTTTGGTGTGAAATACTTGACCAAGTGACAAATCATTCTCTCCCCCTATGCTCGAACTTGAACTAGACCCAATCACATTATAGTACATTGCATCTAAATCAATTGTTGAGTAATGACTAGGACACTATCAAGATTGAGATTGGGATTGGAATTGAGATCGCGACATTAAATATTCATCCAAATTCTGCACATCATACAAATGTTCATCTTCTTCATCATCAAGCTTCTCCACTCCATCATTTTCATCATCTTGTTGTGCTACAATAAAATCAAAATCTCCAACTAAGCTACCTTGTCTCATTTCCAGTGGATTAAGTGATAATAACTTTTCAATGTGTCTAACAAAGTGCTCAAAACTTGGAGAACCTACCTCATCATGAGAATTGTGCACGTTATGATGGAACATCTCAACTAATGGGACCTGGATTTGATGGAGAAGGTGATGAATTTGGGGCTAAACCTCTAGAGTTAAAATGATCACCTTGTAGTTCGACAAAAAGCTCTATTGTATGAGCTTTAGCAAATGAGTTAAAATAACTAAACATGTGATTAATGTGCTTATCTTTCTGTATTTGTCACCTTTTATATCAAATACCATTTAACCCAATATCAACTGGCATTGTAGTTCGACAAAAAGCTCTATTGTACAAGCTTTAGCAAATGAGTTAAAATAACTAAATATGTGATTAATATGCTCATCTTTCTGTATTCGCCACCTTTTATATCGAATACCATTTGGTCTAATATCAACTGACATCCTGAAGAATATTTTTTATACTTGTATATTGTTTCCCTCATACTCTTCTAGTATTCAGCTATCTAACTGTGGCAAATTAATTGGTGGATAGACAACCAACCAAGTCTGATTGTCGCTACAAAATGTCTCTCCCTCCACTGTGTTTATAATCTCACCATTATAATATATAAACACATGAAAATCATTCTTAGTCATTTTACTAAAATTTTCACACTCAATTTGTCAAATTTTCAAACAAATTAATGCAAAGTCTGAAAGCTGTATGTTTATTTATAGGGAATAAAAAAAGAGATGAGTATTGAAATCTACTTGAATCAACTTCTATATTAAACTTAAATATACTTGAATCGACTTTTGTATTGAATTGAAATATACTTGAATCAACTTCTCTTTTAAACAGAAATGTAACAATTGAGTGAAAGTCGATTTAAATAAACTTCTGTAAAATAGTAAAATTAATTCCACACAAGTCGATTGTAATCGACTTCTTTACAAATATTAAATAATTAAAAATCAATTTAAATTGAATTTTCATCGAGCACCACTTGAAATTTTAACAAAAGTCGATTAAAGTCGGGCTTTAATTTTATATTTTCAAGACATAATTGTAAATTTTTTTAAAAGAAGACATTTAGGTAATAAATTTTTTTAATTCTATTATTTATGTGAAAATGCCATGTATAGGAGTACAACTCAATTTTAGAAATATATTTACACTAAACATCATTGTTGATATAATTTTTTACACATTTATGATGTGTTGTAATTTTTTCATTTAAAAATAATTGCTTAGTTTTCATTTCTTCAAAAAAATTTGGCAAAATTATATTAAACCAACACACTCGCATTCAAATAATGTTACTTTAATGAGATGTAATGTGCATATAGGTGTTATCCACCCACCATCTAAAATAGCTTTGAATTGTATGTGCCATGGAACACAAATACACAACTCTCTTAGTTCAATTGGTGAAATATATTGGAAGGAAGAATTTCTCTATTCTTTAATCACTAGACCCTTCTTTTTATTTTAGTAATATTATTAAATGTCAGTATTTAATTATATTTCAGTTGACCGTAATTGAATAAACATTTGTGAAAATATAGTTTCAATGTATTAAACATTGTACTCCCTTTTTATATATATATATATATATATATATATATTGTAAGTTTAAAAACTCTTACACATAATCTAAATATTTTATTTAATTTAAATCTAACGGCCAATAAAGTAGTAAATTATAACCTATTAAATATAAGTTAAATAAAAGACTCAAATTAAATGTAAGAGTTTTTATATTTATACCAGTATAAAAAGATCTTACCCCATATATATATATATATATATATATATATATTCTAAATTATAAGAAACAAATACTCATTTTCAATTATGTTAGTTCCTAATTTTTTTTATAAACTTATTTGCTGAATGTTAACATATTATTCATATAAGTGGATATATATATATATATATATATATATATATATATATATATATATATATATATTCTAAATTATAAGAAACAAATACTCATTTTCAATTATGTTAGTTCCTAATTTTTTTTATAAACTTATTTGCTGAATGCTAACATATTATTCATGTAAGTGGATATCTTTATTCATTTAATATATGGTCAATCAATTTATCCATTTATTACTATGAGTTTTTTTCGGAATATTTTATAAATTTATGACTTTTTTTTTTCAAGGTACCAGATGAAAGATGTCTAAGGACACTTACCAGTAAAGAATGCTAAAAAAAGGCATGATCGCAGTGCTAAAATAAACAGCAAAAAATTGAGCCCACAAACTCAAGCTGAACAAATTTAGCAATATTAAAATCTGAAATATAACAAAAATAAGATGCAATCGTAAAATCACATATTCCTTTAACAAAGAGTTGACCTACTAGAAAAAGGCTTCTATTTTCTTTTATCTCCTTTCTCATTAGTATAAAGCCTAGCATTGAGTCAAACCAACAGAAATCGAAAGCATGGACTGAATCATCATTTTTCAACAAATGAATATAATGTGGTTGAACAACTCTCGCTGTTTTTGTTGTTGAGAACAATGTGATGGAGAAGAGGATGCTAAGAGGAGAATGAGGTAAAGAAAACTTCTCGTTTTGAAGAGATGAAAACCTATCAATATATCCATAAAAAAAAAAACATCCACAGGAGAGGAAACCCACAAAAGAATAGCATCAACAAGAAGGAGAAGAAAACCCCATAATGGGGAGGGGAGCCTCGACAAAAGGAGGGGAAGCCCCCCCAAAGGAAGTGCCTTTTGGATGCTCTATATGTGGCAACTGGGCTTACTTGAAGCTCTCCACTTCTAGTAACTCATATATTTAGGATGCTTTTTATTAATCTTAATATTAATAATTAATCACTGGAAGGAGTATAAGGGTAAATAAGGATTACGAAACTGATTATATCCGATCCTTAACAAACATCTCAACAACTTGTATTTTGCCAAGAAATCCTACAATTTCATAGAAGACTTACTCGAGGACTTTCCCTTCCACAAAAGTCTTACTAAATTTTCTGCACGACCAAGATTGTAACCCTGGGTATTAACGTTGACTTGATCAATGAATAACATATTTGATTTCAAAAGCATGCTTTCATCAAACAGGTTGCACTATTGGCAGCAGGCGTTGAACTATGATAGCTAAGCAGGACCAAGAATCTTCATTCTTTAATGACCTGGCATAATCAATTCCAACTGTTACCCGTAGCAACACGTCCACTCAAAGGTCTAAAACTCAAGACTAATATTTCCGATAAGGACCATAAGGTCTACATGCCTATCATCATATTACCATATATTGGTCCTATATGATTTCATATCACTTATCTTTAACAAACATATAAATATAAAAGGCAACTAGCTGGTAACTAGATTAATTCCAACCCAAGTCTGATGTTTTTTTAGAGGTAATTGTAACACATGTTCCCTAGGTTCTTGCAAATCTTTTGTCCTTCTATATATGTGGCCAAAAGCTGTCATAGAAATAAATCATAATTCGATCACTATAATTTGACAAATTTGATCCAGAGGCCAGAACACTATATGGAGTAAAACCATTCATGGCTTAGTTTTCTGATATTAACCAACATTATGTACAAGGTGAATACATATATCCGATGTCCAAAGTTTTTGAAGTTGGTTGCGTGCTACTTGGAGTTTCTTCATTTATTGCAATCAGTGATTCATTGTCTGTTCTACTGTCCAAGACCCGTGTTTACCATCTCCAACAAGTCTCTTCATTTAATGATCTTATCTGCAATGAAAAGAAAGAACCACTAGTATCCATGATCATAACTATGTCTTAAGAGAAATGATTTTTGTACACCAATTTTGGGAAAACTTCTTGTCCCTTGATTTATGTCAAGGATTTTTGAGATACATGAAAAAGAGACATTATGGGAGAGATAAAGATAAACGTATATGATGTCAAATTTGATGTTCAAATAACAGAATTCAAATTTTAAAGAGTGATAAAAAAACATCATCATGTTCCAAAATTTTGACTGAATTGAAAATTAACAGAATCAAACTACCAAACACAAGATGTTAGATACTAGAGAAACAATCAAGTCAACATTCTGGTTCTTGGAAACCAAACAGCAAAACAAAGTGTATTAGGATTAAAGTTTCTCCATTCTTAATCCTTCATGCCAAGTAAAGGCAAATTTGCCCTCATAAAATCAGATTCCAAGACAAAGAACTCCCCATCCCCAAAACCTGAACAGAAACGTTTGACCAACCACTGGAATTTAATAGCAAGCATATCGTGTTTTTGAGATACCCCTTCTTGCCCCACATTGTGGGAAACAAATGATACCAATGAGTTAACAGTTAGTGATGAATACTCTCAAGCTCAATCTGTTAGTCTATATCCAATATTCTCATCACAACTTCTAAACCATGGGGGAGTATTCATTGTTTTAATTCCCAAGCTTTCGAGAATGTTGTAAAAATAGCTAATAATTCTCGTAGGCTCTTTCTAACTTGTTTCAATAAGTTTTTCAGTATATCAAAACAAATTAGCTTATTCTAATAAAGTCCATAATCAAATTTATGTCATAAGCCCTCACGTGGCCTTATTTATTTAACGCATCCTAAATCTTACACGAAGCTATGTTTAATTGGGGTTTTTTATAACGCAAGATCAAAACATGCTTCAGCTGGTTTCCTAACAAATGGACAGTTTCAAAGATAAAAGCATCCCATCCCATCACATCATATCAGGCAGGGAAAGAAAAAAGAAAAAAAATTCTTATGAAAAAAAAAAAAAAAAACAGGGAGGGAACGAGAAATTACCAAGTGGAAGATGAATTTTGGGCATGAATGGAGCTATAAATTTTGGAGAGGCGACCAGTTTGTGGCTTGGTTCGAACAGGTTTCTTTTTAAGGCCAAAAACCTCTTGCACCAAAGGCACGTGAACCAGCACCAGTTTCCATGCCAATAACCAACCTACCACACACACAAATCCTTTACATGAGTTCTTTCCAAGTCAACAATCAACTTGATGAACCCTATTTTCAAAAGAGAAAGACTTATATTTTATAGTTAGAAAATCAATTCTCACACTTTCTAATACTTTAAGATTGCATATATCTAAAAAAGTATTCAACGGTTCAAAATCAATTTTATTCAACTTCAAACTAAACAAACACGAAATTGAAAAGAGAAAGAGAAAAATTACCAAGAGATATTAAGGAGAGAACGAACCCGATGGCGAGGAGGGGGCGCAGAAGCATGATTACTATGTATTCCCCAAAAGATAACCTCAAAGACGATTCCATCTCCATATCCAACAGCATCTGCATCACCTCTACTGCATCAACCTTAATCACTTTGTCCCCCCTTTTTTTTTTGGTCGACATATTTATAGTTTTCGATTAACCACCGTTTCTTCTGTGTAGGCTTACCGCTGTTTCGTTTGGGTCTTAGTTTCATCCATTAGGCCCAGATTACACAGGTGACAAAGTAATTTCGACTATTTTTCATATAAAAAATATGAAACAAAAAAGGCTTCTTTTGATTACACAGGTAACAACAACATAAGTGGTTTTCTCAAAATTTTGGACCAAAATTTGAACAAAAAAGAAATTTTTGGATCAAAATGAAAAAGGCTTTGAGAAAATGACAAAAACAAAAAGTAACTGGACCAAAATGAAAAAGGCTTTTCGAAATTTTATGCAAATTAAAAATTGATTTATGACAAAAAAAAAAGGGTTAAAGAATGATTTTATTAACATCATTTAAATAATGCTAACGAAATAAAAGTTAAAAAAGCTATAAATAAAAAATATCCATTATATCAAAATATGAAAGTCACACACACATATATATAGATTATTTTCACAATCCAAAATTATTATATTTCTCATAAATATTATCGTTATTCTTTTTTATTTTAATTTCATTTTTCTACTTTTTTCATGATAAAAAATGATGAAATTTTATTAAAAAATATAATTAATAATTCGAAATATAACATATACATATATAGTTAATTAAGTGTTTTGTCATATAAAAATTATATAATTTAAACTTAAATTTTTTTTAAATATAATTTTATTTTTTTCATAAACTATTATTAGTCTATAGACTCTCTAGCTGAGATAGACTCAAATGTCAATCACTTAACTAACCTTATAAATACTACCCTATTAAATACCATAGGTTTAAATAAAATAAAAGAAGCCCAACCCAACCACTTCACTCTCTTCTATTCCACGTTCATTTTTTAATCTACCTTCGTCCCTGTCACCGAGTCTTCTGTTTGTTCCTCAACTTGGTTTTGGTTTCATTCACTTGAACTGTCCATCAATCCCTATGGAAACAAGTAATTCTGCACCCAACATGCCACGCTCCTCCTTCCGCTCTTTCCGCTGCTCCTGTTTCCGACGCTGCTGTCGCTGTTTTTGCTGTTTCTACTCCTTCCCTTAAAATCCATTAACGGTTACGGTTTGGGTTATTCATCGTTCTCACCACACCTTCTTCTTCCCCCTTTTCTTTTCTTCCATCGCTGCACTCCAAGCGTTTCTTTTTTGCTTCTTCCTCAAACCAGCCACGTCATCAATATCATCGCGAGCGTAAAACAGAGACAGTTCAAGGTTCTTCACCTCTAACTCTTCTTTCCTTTTATGTTGCTTTTGTTTCCTACCTATTGAATTCGTCAATCACTGTTTATACAATTGTGTGGATTCGACGCCAGGGCTAGGATTTTATTTTCAAAGTTAGGGTTTTAAATGTGATTATTTTCATCTTCTATTGTTTTGATTAATTTTATGCCTTTTCCAATTGTTCTATTCCGTATCAGATTAGAATTGTCCTATTAAGGTGTTTGACAATGTTGGGTTTAGAAATACACCATTTTTAAGCATTTGAGACGCGTGATTATTATTATTATTTAAAAAATTAGTGTTTTCCTTAATCAATCGTTTCTGAAACTTAAGTTGGAAGATTGGGAGGTAGAAATTGTAAGTAGTAGTTTATAGTTCCTTCCTTGCTTTTACTTAACCAGGGCAGATACTAGACAAGATTAGGATTCTATTGTTGTTTAGTTCTTCTTAAAGCATGAAGCAAACATTAGTTCCCCCGAGTATGTTCGTGCTTAAAATTTTGAAGGAATTACTTTTGTTAATGAAATTATATATCAAATTTGCGAATTGTCTTCCAATTCTGTTACTCATGTCACCTTAATGAAGCAAACCAAAAGGGTGGTGTGGTTTACTGTTTAAACGTTCTCCGGAAGTCAAATTGTTAATTTGAATGCAGCCGTTTGCTTTACTTATGCTTGTGTTCCTGATATTGGTGTAGTCTTATAATATTGTTATTGAAAAAAAGAAAAAGGATATAATCTATTGTACCCCTTGTAATTGAAAGGGTTTGGTATCCTCTGTTACACCTGAAACATTCTTTATCGTTAATTTTATATTGATAGATAATGGAATTAATGGTTTAGTTGAAAAAGACGTTAATACTTTCTCATTTTTTAAGACATTAGAGAAATCAATGTAAAGAGGGTATAGAATACCTTTCAAGTTCACGGGTACCACAACAAGCACAAAAAAAAAATAAAAATTGACAAGTGTTTGGATTTTGGACAATTGTAGAGTGTTTTCAGTTATGATATGCTTGTGTGCCTACTCTGCTGTCCTTTTTGTTGGGTTGATTGTCTCTAGGGTTTCAATTTTTGTTTCCTGCTCCATATGTGGATGTGCTTCTAAGTACATTGACAACGCTTCTTTACAGGAAGATGCTAGTTCATTTGATTCCACAGAACTCTACAAGGCCCAAGGGGTGGAAGCATATTTTACAGAAGAGGGGTGCAACCCAATGCATGATTCCAAGCCATGGAGAAGATAATAGTTATGATTTTGAGGAAAAGATAAGGTTTGCTTTATATCCATTGTTACCAGAATCCGTTCACTAATCATGTTATTGCTGAGTCTTACCAAATGTTTAGCATCTGCTTTGTTGAAAACTAAATGCAGATTAATGATTGATGGGACTGAGAATCATCTGGTTCTTTGAGAAGTCGAAGCTGAAATCTCTTAAGGACCAAGGACTATTCTAAAAACATTTTCATAATTAGGAAATAAATTAAAAGAAATACATATAAGGACCAAATTGAAATTGCATGACGCATATAGGGACCAATATATATTTTAACCAAAAGCATGTAACAGCCATGTTTGCATTCATTTGCTACATCAGCAAGGGAAAGACGACATTATGATGAATCTAAATACCAAGGATTATTTTGAAAATTTTTGCATGTATAGGCATTAAAGTATAAAAAAAAAAATACCTACAGGGACCAAATTGATATTGTGTGACATAAATAGGAACCAAATTCATATTTTAACCTTTATATGTTGTACAACAATCATGTTGTACCTTATGATGTTTAAAATTTGTTGCATTCGTTTGCTACATCAGCAAGGGAAAGACAACATGATGATGAATCTAAATGTGAAGGACTATTTTGAAAATTTTTGCATGTATAGGCATTAAAGTAAAAATTAATAAAAATTACCTACAAGACCAAATTGATATTGTGTGACATAAATTGGGACCAAATTCATATTTTAACCTTTATATGTTGTACAAAAATAATGTTGTGCCTTATGATGTTTAAAATTTGATGTATTCCTATCTTTATGTCATATTGTATCCGTGTCCCATGTTACATCCATGCTTCCTAGATTATCTCTTGCATTGTAGTTTGAGTTTAAAGTTTAAACAAATAAAATATAATCAGGCCCCTTTATTTGTCAATATTCAGGTATTCTTGCAATGACATCAAGAGGCTGTTTAGAAGATGATTTCAAGACAACTGCTGATTTTCATTTTAGGGCTGCTTGGATGGCCTGCGCTGATTTTCTCTGGGGTCTTCAGAATAATGAAGATACTAATGTCTAAGAAATCAAGTTGAGACATGCTAGTTTGCAATGCCAGAATTCAATATTTGATTTGAACTTGTAAAGTCAGATGCCTCCGTACATCCCTTTTGTAAACACGATACTTCTGTGTTTACGACATTCTGTATCAATCTATTTAGATGTTCCTTGATCATATCTGCACAAAGGTTTCTCTTGTAAATTATACATGCAAATAGAATTTTGAGATCATATTGCCATGGCGATACATCAGAGTACAGTCTGCTTAATGTTGAGTTTGATATTGTACCAAGGTTTCCCTCTCCCCATCGAATTTTTGTGGCTTTGTCTCTGAAGAAACTTCAGTATGTACACATGACACTGCAAAAACTGCTAGTAGTACATGGAGGGCTCGCCTTTCAGTGCTCATCTTTATACGTCATTTCAAGTGTGCATGAGATTATTTTTTATTTATTTATTTTAATTTTTGATAAAGTATATGAGATTAGTTTATAGCTATGTACTGATATACTGTTCTCTGCTTATTGCTGAACTGGGGTCTTTGCTTGTGGTATGGATGAATTAAATTTTGAGAGCAGCACTATTTGATTCTACGCAATAAGCTGTCACTAATTGTACATTAACGATGATGATACTTCTAGTTTTCATGCGGGGGAATTGTTCACCTTATTGCAGCCGTTGCTTAATTAGAGGGAACACCATTTGTGCCGGTTAGGCATCAAGCATATTGGACTTTTACCCCTTTTTTATCTGCATTGTGTGCTCTTTCAGTGTTATTTTGTTGTTTCATTTTAAGCAGCACTCGTATGAACCCTTGTAAGGGGGCAAGTTATGAATTTCCGGGAGAAGCAAAAAGTACGGCATACTGTTAGAAATGAGAAAGTGACTGCTGAAATTTTGTGATATATTAAACATCCCAACACCCCGAAAAAGGGAAGTTGAAGAATTTTGAAACACAATTCTGAGAGGAAAGACGTGTCATGCTCTGGTGATAATTTTTCATCATCATCTCCATTGCTTTCCAGGTGAATCGAATCAGACAAAGGCTTCCTAGGAGCAAAAGAAGTATGCTTTTGGCGTTAAAGCAGTTCAGGAATCTCAAGAGTGCTCCCTACAGTCTTAAGCTTTTCTTTCTATTATTTCAGGGTAGAATGATTAATCATTACTATAACAACTCACGAGAGCATTCTTTCAAATTCAATGCTGTGGAGAAAAATCAGTCACCGCTAAAGAAAAGTGATTTAAAATTGATCTGACATCTTTACTTTCTTTGGTCATTTGAGTTTGCCTTTCCTTTTCTATTGGGCTCTTTCCACATTTGTTTTAGTGTGGCTAATGCCTTGTGTTTGTCTTATCCCCTGGCTGTAATAGAGGAGGAAGCACAAAATTTGACTTACGTACAAAACAATAAATCTATTGTCATTATTTCAAAGACCCAAAACCCCATTTAATAGAAGAATCTTCTTCACTGCATTCAGCACCATCACTAATGTTTCAACAACGGCAACTTTTTTTCGAGTACAACTACGGTAAATAACTCCGTAAACAATAGAAAGACCACAAGAGAGAGAAACTAAGCCATCTTTCATCCAAGATTTAATTTATTTTTATTTTTTTTGGTAAGCTCTTATTTTATAAAATGTCATTTAATTTAGTTTTGAGCGTAACATAATATTTTTCAAAGAATTAAAAACGTCTTACTCATATAATCTCAAGAATTAACAATATAATTTATTCAAGAAAAGTTACATAAAATATTATAGGTACAACAATTTACAGCAATTGAGAATGGTTACTGATTTTCAGTAACTCTTTTCCTATTTTCTTTTCCGGATTACCTGTTTGTTTCTTTTTAACCCGTTTCATTCATGATATATTTATTTTATTGAAGTTGAATTAATTGAACACAATTTGATAAAATCATATTTGTAGTATGCCTAAATTTTAAATTGAAATGTATGTGCAGAAAGAAATGATCATGAAAGTAAGTCACTGACTGCAATTGTCGTTTGTTTCAAGCATCAATCCTTAATTAGCAACTGCAACTGGGAATCAAATCACCCGTTTGCCGTTTCATTTCTTGTCTTCCAATTAAAAAGTACCAAGTGAATAAAAGAAAATCAACACGAAACAAAAACATTACTTTTTAACCGCGTCTCCCTTTAGAATTGGGTAACGAGACAAGATTAAAAATAGCATTTAATTTTCTTCATAATTTTACCTATCTATGACTACAGAAGTCCAAGAGCTTCTTTCTCCCTTCAACAATCTCATCAAAGAAATCATCAAGCTGGCAAATAATGTTGTCAGCACCAGATCTAAGAACTCCAAAACACAACCTAAGACTCTCCACTCTCTCAGTTTCCCACTGAACCTGTCTCTCCAATTCCCCTCTCAGCTCCTCCATTGCCACCCTCGCTCTCCTAAACTCATACAACAGTATCCCTTCCCCCAAACCACCCATCTCCGCCGCCACCCTTTGCCGCAACCTCGCCGCCGACATCATCACTCCCAAGCGTCCCCCCTCGTACCCTGTCACCACCAACTCCGAGGTTTCTGGCCAACAGTACACTAACCCTTGTAGCAATATCATTAACAATATCGAACTAACGTTCCTCATTGCGTACAGCACTCCTCTGAAGCCGTTGAAACCATTTAGCTTTGATTCCACCGATACCCTCTCCTCAAGTCGCAGAGAGAGTGGATGGATCCTCGTTTCCATCAACACACGGTTCTGCTCCTCCAACCCCAACGCTTCCCTTCTACACCCCGATATTGCCCTCACCACCTACGACAAACCACCAACTTTCAACACACTTCAAAATTTAACCTTTGTCTAAAGCATGATCATCTTTTAAGGACTGATATGATCCATATTCATAGTATGAGTGTATCAATGGATGTTGCTCTTTCCCCGTGGCATTAGTTAACAAATTAAAATATATATAATTCGTAAACTAATAAAATTAAAATATTATATTAAAAATATAATAATTTTTATAAATAAAAATCTCATTAATTTATCAAATATAAAATTATTCATTCCATTAAATAACTTAAACAAACTCTCCCTAATAAACAAACAAATATTACATTAAAAGTTAAATAAAATTTTATTTTTTTCTTTAATTTTGTTTGCTTTTATTTTCTTTCCTCTTTTTAATTTATCTATTATAACAGTAAAAAATTGTCACAACTAGCAAATAAAGCCAAATTAAAATTAAAAAGAATGATAAGAACAATCAAAAGGTAAAACTAAAACATAAGGTAATAATTTTGCTTAAAAATGACGGTGAGAATGAATTAATACTGTTTTTAAGAAACTTAATTATTGAATTAACGATCATAACTGAAAAGAGACAAGTTTGAATCCTTATAATTTATAGCTTGAGGATGAATAAGAAAGAAAGAAGAAGATAGAAGAGTTCTGTGACCTGTCGCGAGAGTTGTGGAGTGAGGTGGGAGTGAGAATCGAGGGAGGAAGCGAGGTTGATGCCAGCAGAGTAGTAAGGTTCGAAGTTAGAAATGCCGGACTTGATGACGTGGCAGGTTTCCCAAAGCTTGGAGGTTTCGTCCATATACTCGTCGAGCCACTTGTCACCCACCGGCAGGTGGAGCTTGTGAACCAGAACTGTTAGTTGTGTGTGGAAGGATCGAAGGAGTAATAGAACCCTTTGCAGGAACTGTATTGACATGAAGTTGTTCGCTATGAAGGCTCTTTCTAGTTCCTCCATTCCTCTGCTTAGGAACGTATAGAACCCATTCACTGTGTTTGTGTTTGCGTTTGTGTTCGTGTTCAAGGATGAAGGACAAGGGTCCATTATGTGTTTGATTTGATGAGATTGATGTGTTGTGTTGTAAACGGTGGTGGGAAAGGAAGGGGTGTAGATATTTAAATTGAGAGAGAGAATCAATGGAATTAAGTAAAAAATTAAGAAAAAGGGAAAAGTGGGAGAATGGAAGAGAGGGAATATCTTGGAAGCTCAGGTTTCTAAGGTTGAAAAGGATTGCTGGGGGCAATGATGGGTGTTTCCTACAGAGGGGAAAGGATGATTGGTAATATGCCATTTTCATTGTTTTAAATGGCCACAGACCAAGAGAGGTAAAATCAAAATTGAAAGAGACTGCAATTTTCAAAATTTTATAAATTGTACTGAAGATAATTATCAGTGCTTGAGAGAGAATAAGGGGTGGTAAAGAAAGATTACCGAGGTCAATCATTATATATATATATATTAAACCCATTTAGAGCTTTCTATTAAATATAAAAATAAGCAATAATATTTAATTAAATTGTTGAGCCAAATGGGTCAAAATATTTAATCTTTTGACTATTTTATACAATTAAAAGGCAAAAATATAACTTGTGGAAGAGTATGTAGTGAGTGAGATTCAGGTTTCTTGCCTCATGCAAGGTTCGACGGGTTTTTGTTTTCACCGCATCCAATATTTTCATTCTCGAACAGGTCACTTTTTTTAAAAAACATTCTTTGCTTAAATTGTATATATCTTTTATGAAAAGTAATTTTGTTTAAACATGAAACATCTATAATATAATAGAATTGATTCTTTTAATAAAAAAAATTCTAGTGACAAAGATTCGAACAAAAAAATTAACATAATGAAAAATATATGCATGTATCACTTAACCATATCTCAGGTTTTTTTTTTTTTTGACTTTGAGTGATCTTGGTTCGTTCCTCAATTCCTTCCTCTGGCCACTGAACTCACCACTCTTCTTTCATTATCTAGTCTATTGAAACTACTAGCGGCTCTGTTTTTTTTTTTCTCTCCTTGTTGCATATTGTTTTCCAGAATTTTCAAAATAGATATGTATATTTATGTTGTGAAAAAAAAAACAAATAAAGAAATGAAATGGTTTAATTTTTTTACACATAAATTAATTTATTCAGTTTTTATAAATACTTATGAAAAAATTTATTTAAATTAGGCCTTACTTAACTAAAGCATTTTGTAGAGTTTTTAAAATCCCCCTTCTAGAAATAAGAAAAATCTGAAATGATGACGTTGCTTATACCTGTATCTTTCGTAATCTAGTAATCTTCTTCCACAAACAAATCTTTAGAAGCCAGACAAGTTAAATTAATTATTCCATTATCTTTGATTTTGGGACCAACAAAGAATGATGCTTTCCTCACGCCCCTTACCCACCTCATTTCAAGCATTTGAAATATATTTAATTCAAAAATCTTTTTTCAAAGTTAGTGTAATCCAAAGCAGAAGTATCATGGTAATTGCACATATATTATCCACATGACAAATATAAACAAATAAACATATCTATGCTATTGATTGAGTAGGCCTTACTACCACATCAAAGCGATACACAGATATCGGTAGAAAAACGATTTTGTACTGTTTCTGCTTGTTTCGTGATTGTGCAGTATTGAAACTGGGTCCCAAAATACGTGTCTCATAACAAACGCGTTTTAAGTGAATGATCACTTTTAGTCGCTAACTAACTAATTGATAGCCACGAATTGAAACCTTAGTTTAAAGATACCGTTAGTATTTTTCTTCCTTCCCTTTATTTCTCTTGTCACACAGTACAGTGTATGCGATTCATCTTCTTATGGACCTCTTTTTTCTCTCTTCCCTCATGAGGAAGAGTGAGGAATAGGGGACCATTACCAACCAAACAACGTAAATTAATTATGCATTGGGTTATGCATCAACTTGTACAATTTGGCTCCGACTGCTCGTGGGTTTTCGGAGAATGGGACAGCATAGAAGCATGTTGGTCTTCTCAGATTTCATTGGAAAGTGAATAAGAAGTTGGGGTTAGATCGATACGATTGCCCCAAAACATTATCATGGCCACCTCTTGTATTGTCTCACATAACCCAACTCAGCTTACGTCAATTTGTCCTTTATCATAATTCGATTATAACTTTTATTCGGTGTAAATGTAATTTACTGAAAATTATAATCGCACACTTTTTATCTATGTACATTAAATTTAGTCTTACTTAATATTGTTTCTCTTTTAAAATTTATAACTTTTTTAAACCTAGAAAGTGTAATACACTTTTAATTTAGTCATTTAATATTATAGATATTTTTAAAATATAATATAAAATATAATTTTTTTTTACATTTATATAAATTTAAAAATTTTTATACTCAATTTGAACTACCTATTTAACTTACATCTAACAGTAAATTAAAAAATAAATTATAAATCATTAAATATATATTAAATAAAAAATTTAAATCAAATAAAAAACTTTTTACACTTATACTAATTTAAAAAGTTTCAGCTTCATAAAATTATAACATCTAACGTTTTTTTTTTCAGTTTTGATAAATATAATATATTAATTTTTTTTAAAATAAAAATCAAATATTTTCTTAAACTTTTAACTTCTCAACTTATATTGACTTGTAAGCATACAGTATGTTATGGTGCTTTTAACTTCATCATTGTTGCTTGCTAAAATAAAGTAACGGTAATGACTTTTGCTTCTTCCTTTCTCCTTCATATGTCCTGATTGGAGTGGACACTGTTCAAACATTTGGAGGCAACTGTTTCTCCTTGCCCCTTCGTTTCTTTCCCTCTTTCGAATAAGATATCCCTAACATATTCATCAGTATGACATCGTAATGTTACCATAAATTCATAATATTTATACTAAAAATTTAGATTTTTTTTACTAAATGATATAATTTCTAAGTGATAATTTTAAAAAAGAAGATATTAATTATTTTTTAAACCTATCCGTTATAACATCCATCAACGAAAGAGCTCAATTCTCAGGCACTTTTGTATCGGGATAATTTTAAAATAATGAGATGAAAAATAACAATTTCTTTCTTTCAGTGAAGTCATTAATGTAATTAATGACGTCAAATTTCACCTAAAAGTAAAAAAAAAAAAAAAGTGTTAACGCCAGATATCTAAAATATAAACAGATATAAACATTTTTTAAGGAAAGAAAATATGCCCATGCTTGTTTGCACATCAAAGTCTACTTTAGATAAAATGTGCATCATTGATGATTATTCTTGTGAATGACTCGGAAAGAGAGATATTTCATGATTTAGTGGAATGCCACGAGACAAGTTTATGGGGCTGTACAAAATATGGGAGAAGGCAGAACCTTTTCCAAGAAATTTGATGTATACAATGTTATTAGTGATCGATTCAGTCAAAATACTATATTGTTTAATGAGTATTACTCTATCTTACCTTACGATCGGTTTTTTTTTAAGTGTTTTTAAGCACCTATGATATATTTTTTATGTTGGTAATAAGTACTTTAAGAACATTAATTAAGAAATTAATAAATAATTTTATTAAAATTTATGATAAATAAACATGAGAGTAAGTACAATTTTATGTTTTCTAATATAATATATATTTTTTAATTCTTTAACAAGTGTCTTGAGAATATTGACTAGTATTTTTTTATTATTTATTTATACTCAAATTACAATAATAATCTTAAATAAAAGGAATATATTTAAAATTTTAAAAATGTAAACGGATTAACCAATTTTATTTCCAATAAACAATAAAATTAATATTAAATATTAAAAAATTAAAATAAATTTTATTAAGTCAGTGAGTCATTAGTTAAATTTGTAAATATATAAGAAGAAATTTAATTATTTTAAGTGTAAATTTCAAACATTTATTTTATTCAATACCTTTTTATAAGATACAAATTCAATAAATATAGTTATCGTATATATCAAATTTTAGTAAAATTTAAACATTCACACACACACACACACATATATATATATATATATATATATATATATATATTGTTAATATTTATAAAAATCTTCATTAAATACATATGCAATAATTATAATATATAGTAAGAACACTGTACTTCATAGAATATTATTTTAAGGACTAATTACAAAAAGGAAACATAAATTTAGAAATCTAATTATGAAGATTTAATGTACAAAAAATTATTTTATAAATAATTCAACTAGCTAGCTATTAATCAAATTAATCATTTTTTAAAGTCTACCTTTGGTACAAAACTACTTCACCTACACCCTCACCCTCATCGTACGAAAATCCAAACGCTGCTTAGTCGGAAAGGGTATCTGTGAATGTAGTATTTGGGGATGGACAACAAGAACATGTTTGTTCATCCACAGTAACTGGAGATGCCGTTTCCTCAAGTGGATAGCAATAAAGTTTGATGATTCATGTGGGTTTCAATGAAAATAACTAAAAGGAACAATGAAATATTTTCTCAGTACGATGGCAGCATTTATGTGGGTCCATATCATTGACTCAAAGTAAACACATTAGAGGGAAGGATTTGCCTGACCAAATCTCTGTCATCCTCCTCATGAATTTTTTTCTAGAAAGTCTCTGCAGATGAATATTTCATTTTCTTCTTAATTCCCTTCCTAATTAGATGCACACATCTGGATGGTCCACAGCATCCAAGGAATGAAGATGACACAAAAGAATGATTGTTAAGAAACATATTGAGGACACATTCTTAGATTTTTTAAGAATTTTTTTATTTAATGAAATTTCATTTTCATTTCATTGAATAATTTGATTTTTTTTAATAAAGTTAACATAAAATTTCATTCTAATAAAAAAATTCATAAAACGTAGTACTTATAGTTAGCATTTTTTAATTTAATCATTACAACAAAAACAATTATAGTGGGAATTGGAGAGAGAGAAAACTATACCATTACCAACCAATTCAGAAGTGAGGGGTTTGAGGGAAGGTTGGGGGTGTGAGGAGGAAGTTAGCTTGGAAAGTCTAATATGACAAGTTGCTTACCACATATTAATTAATTCCCTGTTTAATTAGGTTTGTATGGGACCACCGACACCACTTGCATTCTTGGCCTTAAATTCAGATAAGGGGTTTTAAAAGAACACTTTTGTTTAGGAGTTAGGAAAATTATAAAGTGTTATGCAAACCAAACCTAAAACGCTTGCACAATGTTTTCACTTCATTTTATGCTAGACCAATGTGACCTCGCATAAT